AAATTGAGTTCAAGTAAGATACCTGAATTTTTAGTTCATGATATTGTGATACATTTCTTAATTCTGTTTGAAAAAAAAAATAAATCTGATAATGCCAGGTGCTGGTGGCTCACTCCTGTAATCCTAGCTATTCAGGAGGCTGAGATCTGAGGATCAGGGTTCGAAGCTAGAAAGTCTGTGAGACTCTTATCTCCAATTAGCCACAGAAAACAGGAAGAGGTGCTGTGGCTCAAAGTGGTACAGAGCTAGCCTTGAGTGAAAAAGCTCATGGACAACACCCGGGCTCGAGTTCAAGCCCTATGACCTACAAAAATAAAAATAAAAAAATTTGACAATGTAAAATCTGACAATGTATCTAGTTTTTTTGTTTTTGGGTCTGGTCGTGGGGCCTGAACTCTGGGCCTGGGTGCTGAGGAATCGAACCCAGGGACTCATGCATGCAAGGCAAGCACTCTACCACTGAGCCACCTTCCCAGCCCAATGTATCTAGTTTTTACTCTCAATATAAAACTGCTTCTCTGTGCTGGTGGCTCATGCCTGAAATCCTAGCAGCTTGGGCAGAGAAGTCAGTGAGACTATCTCCAATTAACCAGCAAAAATCCAGGAGTGTGGAAGTGTCACTGAAGTAGTACAATGCCAACCTTGAGCAAAAAAATCTAAGTAAGAGCAAGAGGCCCTGAGTTCAAGCCCCAGTACTCTCACAGACACACACAGCCATACTTATGTATTACCACCCACCCCTGGTACCAGTAGTTCCTTAGCTTTTTCACTCATGTCTAGGACTCTACTATGGGCTTGAACTACACAGCACCACTCATCAAGGAGAGAGGAGGAAGGGACAGAGAGCAGATTGAGCCTCAAAAATCCACATACCAGATTGGGCACCAGTGGCTCATGCCTGTAATCCTAGCTATTCAGAAGGCTGAGATCTAAAGATCGAAGTTCGAGGAGCTGGGAAGGTAGCTCAGTGGTAGAGTACTTGCCTCAAATGCATGAGATCCTGGGTTCAATTCCTCAGTACCACATAAACAGAAAAGCCGGAAGTGGCACTGTGGCTCAAGTGGTAGAGTGCTCACCTTGAGCTGAAGAGCTGAGGGGCAGCGCCCAGACCCAGATTTCAAGCCCCACAACCAACAACAACAACAACAACAACAACAGATCGAAAAGTCCATGAGACTCTCATCTCCAATAAACTCAGAAAAAGCTGAAAGTGGCACTGTGGCTCAAGTGGTAGAATGCTAGCCTTGAGCAAAAGAATGCAGAGACAGAGCCTAGCCTCTTAAGTTCAAGCCTCATAACTAATAACAACAACAACAACAACAACAACAAAATCTATGTATCAACTTTTTTTTCTGGCCAGTCATGGGGCCTGAACTTGGGCCTGGGCACTGTCCCTCAGCTCTTCAGCTCAAGGTTAGTGCTCTACCACTAGAGCCATAGTGCCACTTCTGGCTTTTTCTGCTTATGTGGCGCAGAGGAATCGAATCAAGAGCCTCATGCATGCAAGGCAAGCACTCTACCACTGAGCCACCTTCCCAGCCCTCAACTTTTTTTTTTTTGGCCAGTCATGGGGCTTGAACTAAGGGTCTGGGCACACTGTCCCTTGAAGGCCCTGAGTACAAGCCCCAGTGCTGGAACAAAAAATGTGTTAAACAAGCCAGGACTGGTGGCACATTACTGTAATACTAGCCCTTGGCAGGCAGATGTCAAGTTCAAGACTATCTTGGGCAAAATAGTAAGTTTGAAGCCAGTCTGGTCTACATAGCAAAACCATCTCAAGGATTGAAAAAATTTTTAAACAAAGTTTTGTGCTAGAATGGTACTGAAGAAAATGTACTTAAATTTAACTTGAATAATGATTTCTTAGAAGTGAGTTGTCAAATCACTGTTTTTGTTTTCCTATTACTTGGACAGAAAGCCTAGCAAAAATAGGGTAAGTGCCAGTATCCCCACATTTATACACGAAGTCAACAAGCTTCTCTTTTCCTGTACAGTAGCCTAAAGGGTCAAGCATAGCAATTAATCATATGCTACTATAAATTACTTTAATTAGATAATAGATTCCTTTTAACACCTAATGAGATCAAGGAGTGGATGAAGGCAGGTGGGGTATTCTGAGAACATTTTTTGAGAGAGTGGAGCCTCATGGGTGGCCGTTTTGAAAAGCTGGAAGGCAGAATGAGAGTCCTGATCATGGGGGAGGTGGCCAGGGGAGGAAGGTGTTGATGAAATAAAAGATTTGTAAAAAGAAAATGAAGGAGGGGCTGGAAAGGTGACTCAGTAGTATAGTGCTTGCTTTGCATGCATAAGGCCCTGGGTTCGATTCCTCAGCACCACATAAGCAGAAAAAAGCCAGAAGTACTATGGCTCAAGTGGTAGAGCACTAGCGAGCTAAAGAGCTGAGGGACAGCGCCCAGCCCAGAGTTCAGGCCCATGACCAACCAAAAAAAAAAAAAAAAAGAAAGAAAGAAAGAAAAGAAAGAAAGAGAAAGAAGGAAAGAAAGAAAGAAAATAGAAAAGGAAAGAAAGAAAAGAAAGGAGAAGAAAAGAAAATGAGAGAGTGGTAAAGGTAGTCTTTGGTCAACTTTGAAATTTTATCAGGTGGACAGTATGTTACAGAAGTCACCTCTTTGATGGGGCTAAACAACAGAATTATTGCATGGGAGATTTCAAAGGCTCTGCTTGACTGGAGTTTCTATCAGTCATGCCTACAGTCCAGCTTTTTGCGGGTTATTTTGGAGATGGAATCTCATGGGCTTTTCTACCCTGGCTGGCTTTGAACCTCGATCCTCCAGGCCTTTCTCCAGGCCTAGTGGCTAGGATTATAGCATGAAATACAGGTATCTGGTTCCACTTTTGTGAGAGACAGAAGATAAAGGACAAAGTAATAACTGATTTTAACACTCATCTAGTCGTATCTCCACTTAGCCATTTGGGTTTTTCAAGTGTCCAGATTCTATTAAATTATTAACATAAGTAATAATATATATTATATATACATTCTGTTAAATTATTTTCTATTAGCATACATTAACAAGGGATTTCACTGAGTTTTCCAACACAAATACAAACGCATTCCAATCAGTCCCTCCCCATTGCTCTCCTTTACCCTCCCCCCTTCCTTATACAATTTTCATACTTGCTGAAAATCCATTTCAACAATATCCATCTTCTCCCAACCATGTTAGTCCAACTCCTTCTCACTAGTATCCTCCCCAGCAGATAGTTTCTCTTTCTTCTCTCCCAGTCACTTACTGACCAACAGCATTCTCTGACGATTTTATGCTATCTTCATAAACTCTCTCTTTTTAAGAGATAGGGTCTGTATGGTTCTTTCTCAGATGGACAATGTAAAAGAAACCTGTCTTTTCAAGTTTCAACATTAGTTCAACATTTAGAAAGCTCGAGATCAGTACAGGCCAGGCTCCAGTGGCTCGTGTCTGTAATTCTAGCTAGGTCACACCCATAATACTAGCAACTCAGGAGGCTGAGATCTGAGGATCACGATTCAAAGCCAGTCCAGGCAGGAAACTCCGTGACCGTGAGACTCCAATTAACTACCAGAAAACCAGAAGTGGTGTTGTGGCTCAAATGGTAGAGCACTCACCTTGAGCTGAAGTGCTCAGGAACAGCACCCAGACCCAGAGTTCAAGCCCCACAACTGACAAAAACCAAACCTAAGAAAGAAAGCTGAGATCTGACCATTGAAGTTTGAAGCCAACTGGAGCAGAGAAGTCTGAGAGACTCTAAGCTAAGGAAGAATGGGAAGCCCTAAATTCTAACTCCTGTACTGGTACTATAGTCAACTTTTCTTCCTAAGTTTGCGCTTTCTAAAGTTGGTCTTCAAATGGAAAACTGAGTACCAACCAAAAGGACTGAAAGACCGTGGCACGGATATTGCTGAGAATGTAAAGAATTTGGGTTACTAAGCTTGGTGAAAAAAGCTTCTGGGAGAAGGGATGGGCAAGTAGAAAACAGGTCACTACATCAGAATAAGGAAGTAGTTGTTCGTTTGTTTTTTACTAGAGAACAAGGAAAGGATTACACCTTGCCAAAATTTTTTGTTCAGGCAAGACTTCTTAGTACATAAAGATTGCAAGACACTGGATTGACTGAGATCTGTGAGCCCTGTTATTATAATTACTTCAGAGTTGCCTTAAAAGAGTTACTTAAAAATCGCGTAAAGGACCTACTATAATGTTTAGCTACGTCGTGGCTATTGTTATTCTTTTTCGAAGTGTTTCTTCAAAGGCTGTCAGAAAACTTCGGAGGCCCCCTCAGAAAACGCAGTATGAGTAAATAATGCTGAAATTCTTTTGCTTCCAAGAAACCATCTCCAATTCCAATCTCCATGTCACTGTCTAGCCGAATAAAAGCACATTGCCTCAATCTGCCTCCTAAGCAATGGATCTGAGAACACTACATTTTGACCCCAAGACATGGGATTTAACTAGTACTCAGTACATGGAAGTTACCGAAACTTTTGGGCGACAGGTATTAGAGGGGATTCGGCCACGTTACTTTTCAAACTCAGGCTGGGACAGAGTTCTGATAACCACCTGTAACTGGGGGGCCTAAGAGGCCCTGACCAGGAAAAGGCGACCCAGCTGGCCAAGTACAGAGCCGATGCCACTCAAACCGGAGGAGATACAATTGGCTGGCAAGGAAAGGAGGTTTCATACGTTAAGTTGGAAACAGAAGCAGGAATCAAGGGCACAGGGAAGCTTCATAGGAAAAGGAGCCCAGGAGAGTCGACGCGGGGCCGCTAGACGAAAAAAAAAGAGGAAAAAGTACCAGAGGGTAGCTCAGAACACACCAGCACCCGCCGCAAACCTGCGCTTCCCGTTCCCCTCCTCGGCGCCCTGTGATGACCTCATTCACAGTCCAATCTTGTCAAGCACTCAGGCGCGGGGCGCCACAGCCGAAGAGTCACATCCGGGGCCAAGAGGAACCGCGCGTGATCTGAGCATGCGCCCTAGCTTTCGCCCTCACTCGCATGGCGGAGCCCGGGGCGCGCCGCGGGGAGGCCCGCCGAATCGGGCGGTTCCGGCGGCGCCCGCGCTGAGCTGCGGGGGAGGGGAAAGGGACGCTCGTGCAACCGGTGCGTCTGCCCTCAGTGAGGCGGGGCGCGCAGCGGACGCCCCGGGCAGGGGCGGGAGTGGTGGTGGCGCCGGTGCCTGACACTGAAAGGGGCGGTGAGCGAGCTGCTCCGGTCTGGAGGCTCGGCTCGGCCTCCTGCGCCAGGACGGAGGGAAACGGCAGAGGCGGCGGCCCTCGGGCCGGCTGGTGAAGTGATGGCGGCGCCGGGCCCGGGGGCTGGGGCAGCCTCGGGCGGCGCTGGTTGTAGCGGTGGCGGTGCGGGCGCCGGCGCGGGCTCTGGGTCCGCGGGGGCCGGGGGCCGGCTGCCCAGCCGGGTGCTGGAGCTGGTGTTCTCCTACCTGGAGCTGTCGGAGCTGCGGAGCTGCGCCCTGGTGTGCAAGCACTGGTACCGCTGTCTACACGGCGACGAGAACAGCGAGGTGTGGCGGAGCCTGTGCGCCCGCAGCCTGGCCGAGGAGGCTCTGCGCACGGACATCCTCTGCAACCTGCCCAGCTACAAGGCCAAGGTAAGGGAACCCCCGGCCTCGACGCAGCCCCAGGTTCTGCCCTTGCCGCCCGCACTGCTTTCTCAGCCAAGCTGCTGGGTCCGACGCCTATAGCCTCACCATCCGCCACCGCTCCAGTCAGTACATTCCTCTCCCCCGCTTCCATACAGATCTTGGGGATTGAAGTTCCACGCAACCCACTCCACTTTTTAAAAGACTAGTTTCCTATCGCTCCTACTTTCGCCAGTCTTTGCCCTCAGAGTAACCAGACGATTGTACCTTTTAATAACTATTATTCTTTTCCCTGGCCTCCTAAAAGACTTTTTTGTTACATTACATTCTTTCCGCTGCTTTTAATAGGAATTAGTTTCTAAGATCTTGCATTTACCTCACCTTTCCTAAGCTCTGATTTGTAATCACATTTTCTTTCATGTCCCCCCCGCCTCATATTTTCTTTAGTTCACTATATTTCAGGCTTACAAGTGAATGTCCTCGGTCTTCTGCTAAAGAACTTTTGAGATTACAGGCTTTCATAAACCATTGGTACCGCATAGCTGTCATTCTGCCCTTTGTGACTATTATTTATTGGCTGCTTCCTTGCTAACTTTTTCATAGTTCTACCTTGGGATTGTCTCATCATCTGTTCCCTTTGTCATAAGTTTCTGAATCCTTTGTTTTCTCCTAGCTTCTTGTCCGTATTCTTTCACTGTCATAGTACAAAGTAAAATGTCGAATAACAGATTGTGGTAGGTCTGTGGGGATTCTCGAGGCCATGTAAACAAAGAGCCTTAGATATTGTTATTCAGTATCCATCAATATAGATGAAAGAGGATAAAGTCTGACCTGGAGTGTAATAAACATCTTTTTTTTTTTTAATGCTATAGTCAACGAAGGGTCAGAGGAAGAAGTCAATTATTTTTTTCATGTAGAATGTGTGTTTGTGTATGTATATATTTAATTTTGATTTTTCTTTATTGAGACAGTCTTGCTGTTTGTAGCTCAGTCTGGTCTCCAACTCACCATCCTGCCATCCTTCTGCTTTCTGAGTCCTGTGATTATGGGCCTGTACTACAACTCCTGGTTTATTCGTCTATAAAGACAAATCTTAGTTTAATAAGGTAAAGAATAGTGTTATTAAAGATGTCAACTATTAGATCTATTGTTTTTCTCTTTAAGTTAACATTTGCCAGGAGAATATGTATAATAGATACTTAATGGATACTAGTTGTAGTTTATAGAAGAGTGTAGAAGATTAGTTTTGTCCTAATTTGTTTAATGTGTGGATTTCTTTAATAATTTTTAATGGAAAAAGTTCCATAAGTTTAATTTTTTGGCTTAGTTTAAGACTTTTCTAGTAATAAATATATTCATGAGTCATGAATGTATAACTCATGTAACAAGTAATAGATTACATGCCTATGTGAGTCAAGTTTCAATAGAAGCAAAATAATATAAAGAAAAATGTCTTCCTTTGGTGCTTATCCTCCTTATCCTTTCCCTCCTTGAAGGCAACCTATATTATCATTTGTCTTGTATCCTTCCAGAGATATTTTTGTTTTCTTGCCTGCCTGCCTACCCTGCCTGCCCTGCCTTCCCTCCCTACCTCCCTCCCTCCCTTCCTTCTTTCCTTCCTTCCTTCTCCCTGCCCACCTTTCCTTTCCTTTCATTTTGTGCCAGTTCACGGCTTAGATGCTGTCCTTGGAGTTTTTTTGTTGTTGTTTTGTTGTGTTTTTATTTTTGTTTTGCTCAATCCTGGAGCTCTTGTCACCACAACCACAGCTCCACTTCTAGCTCTTTGGTGTTAAATTGAAGATAAGAGTTTCATAGACTTTCCTGTCTGGGTTGAATTTGAACTGAGATTCTAAGATCTGTCTCCTGAGTAGCTAGGATTACAGGCATGAGCCATTGGTGCTCAGCTTATTTTAGTTTTCTTAAGCTTTTAGTATTTTATATACCTTTCTACTATGAACACTACAGTATTAGTCTTGTACTAGTGATAGATTCTTTTCTGGTGTTGCATGATCTTTTCTGAAAATCTTGAGGATGAAAGGGGTTAGATAGTCTAGTAGGGAACTCTTAAATGTGGTAGAAGAAGGAAAAAGGTATAGAAATAACTTTAGTGCATGGAACACATTGCTCCTTACTGTGAGATGTAAAAAGGTCTACTAGAAAATCCAGTGAAAGGGGCTGGGAAGGTGGCTCAGTGGTAGAGCACTTGCCTTGCATGCTCGAGGCCCTGGGTTCGATTCCTCAGCACCACATAAGAAAAAAGCCGGAAGTGGCGCTGTGTGGCTCATGGCTCAAGTGGTAGAGCGCTAGCCTTGAGCTAAAGAGCTGAGGGACAGCACCCAGGCCCAGAGTTCAGGCCCCACGACCGGACCCAAAAAAAAAAAAAAAAAGAAAATCCAGTGAAAGAAGACAATTAGCATTTGAGTAGAGAATTTATAAAGATGGGATGGATTTGAGTAGTTTGTGAAGAGGAAGTACTCTGAACAGAAGAACAATAAGAGGAAATACAGGCACCATGGTGAATTAAAAACACAAACTTATTGATGCTGTTCCCATTGGGAAGTTACATGGTAGTGGAGGAATGGATATTAATTGAATAATCTTACAGTTGTAAAACTGTATTTGGTAAGTATGATAAAGGAGAGATTCTTGATATCCTGAGAGTAATGGAAGATTGGATTTAGGTAGGGAGGTTAGGGAAGGCTTAGAGAACATTTTAGAATTGAACAGCATGATTATGAGGAAAAGGAAGAATGAAGTTGAAACATATCCAGCAAAAGTGATGCTGGTATGAGATAAAATGGAAGAAATAGTCTGGGGCCAAACTATAGGGAAGACATTTCCAAATATAAGCAATAGATTTAAGGACATATGGATTGGTAATATGATTATTTTGCTCTTTTCATTAGTATACATTATTTACACAGAGGGAGGAATTTCATTGTGACCTTTGCACACATTTGCCATGTATTCCAGTCAATCTGATCCCCCCTTTATCACTTTCCCTACCCCACTATACCTGATTCTTTTTCTTTTTCTTTCTTTTTTTGGTTGGTTTTGGGCCTTGATCTCTGGGCTTGGGCGCTGTCCCTGAGCTCTTCAGCTCAAGGCAAGTGCTCTACCCATTTGAGCCATAGGTTTTCGGGTGGTTAATTAGAGATAGGAGCCTCATGGACTTTCCTGCCTGGGCTGGCTTTGAACCATGATCCTCAGATCTCAGCCTCCTGAGTAGCTAGGATTAAAGGCGTGAGCCCCCAGCACCTGGCTTATTTTTAATTTTAAAGAGGTTATTTCTGATTTCACTGTGGAGGACAGCTTGGATGGGGGCATTAAATCAGTTAGGAAGTAGGTAGTGAGGGAAATGGAGATAAATTGGCAGATTCAGGAAATAAAATTATAGAATTTGGCAATAGGTTTAAAATAGGGATGAGGAAAAGGGAGGTGCTAAGGATGACTGGTAGGTATCAGACTTACATAATATAGGGATTACTGAGTTAGATTTTGCAACAATGGCAACAAGTTCAGCAATGGTAGATTAAAATTCAGTGGTTTTGAGACAGCTAGAAGTTGGAAACTTATGAGGTTAGAGGTTAGTGAAGGGGTCTAGGCTAAAGATCTGAAACATTTATTTAGATTAAATGAAGGAAAACAATGGCTGTAAGGTAAGCTGGAACTAAATATATCATTGAAGGTCTTTTGAAATACAATCTTAGACCTGTTGTTTGGGCTTTCAACAGAGGAATGATGAACTAAATAAAAGCTGTACTTTTGAAGAGATTAGGTCTAAGAGATTAGGTCTAAAACAAATACAGTATAGAAAAGGAAGGATATGGCTGAGAGAACTTAGAGAACAAGTGACAGCTGACTGGGTAAGTGAAATGAGGGAAAAGGCAAAACTAAGGAGACACAGTAATAGAGAAGAATGAGAACATATTTAGATAGCATAAAGGTGGAAGGTACTTGAAATTGGTCTATTTGGAACCTTTCTTCCTCCCTTCTCTTCTCTTTCCCTTTTCTCTCTTCTCCCTTCCATACTTTTCTTCCTTCCCCTTTTCTCCCTTCCCTTCTTTCCCATCTTTCCTTTCCTTCCTTCCTTTTCCCTTCCCTTTTTTCTTTGCTGTAGATCATTCTCAGACCTAATGCTGTGTCACTGATCTACATAAAGGGATTTTCTTTTTCAAAATTCATGTTTTACATTTTACCAAATAATAAGTAGTTATTTTAGCCATACTTTACATCTAACTATAGTTCTCTAAATTTCAGACTTAACTAGGTATTAACTGTTTTCTATAATATGAAATTCATGAAACTGAGATAGAAACTATGTATTTATTTATTTATTTTTATTTTGCTAGTCCTGGAGCTTGAACTCAGGCCCTGGGCACTGTCTTTGAGCCTCTCTGTACTCAAGGCTAACGCTCTACCACTAGAGCCACAGCACCACTTCCAGCTTTTTTTGTTTATGTGGTACTGAGGAATCACACCTAGGGCTTCATGCATGCTAGGCAAGCACTCTACCACTAAGCTACATTCCCAGCTCTGTTTTTACTTATTAATTTTGTAGTTTTCCATTGCATCTGAAATTTTCAGTATATATTTCTACAAAACAAGGACACATGGTGTGGGTCCTGGCTCAAGTGATAAAGTATTTTCCTAGCATTCCTGAGGCACTGGGTTCATTCCTCAGAACTGATGCCGAGCAGGGGAAGGGAGTATTTAATATAATTATTATACTGTTATCATTTCTAAAAGGAAATTTACAATAATTTCCCTTCCTTCCCTCCTCCTTCTCTTTTTCCCTCCATCCCTCTCTTTTTCTTTCTTTCTTTCTTTTTTTTTGGTTGGTCGTGGGGGTTGAATAGCCTGGGCGCTGTCCCTCAGCTCTTCAGCTCAAGGCGAGCGCTCTACCACTTGAGCTACAGCATCACTTCCGGTTTTCTGGTGGTTTATTGGAGATAAGAGTCTCACGGTCTCTCCTGCCCGGGCTGCAGCGGGCTGGGAAGGTAGCTCAG